GGGCTCCCGCCCCCCGGCCGGCCGGTGAGCGGCCGGTCTGTATGTGGGATCCGAACCCGCGGCGGGAGCGCCGCCGCGCTTCCCAAGCGGCGCACTATCCAGTGCGCCACCGGGCCGGCCCTCAATAAAAATTTTTTTAAAAAAGGTTTTCCAACAATGAAATTGGGTACCAATTGTCCAATTAAGCTTAATTAAAATGAAATAAAATTTTAAAAAATTTGTATCACATATAAAAACTCAGAGTCTGCAACCCTGGCATTGCCAGACTATGCATTCATTAATAAATAACTGCCACTGTTTGAAGTTGAGGCAAACATATTCCTTAGACAGAATTCTAAATGTTTACCTCAAAACAAGAAAAATGTTTAGATGCCACACTCCCTTATTCATGTGGCCTAGTGTAAGATACAGCGAATGTACCTGACTTTGGCATATCAGCAATCAGGACAGCGTTAGTCACATAACTAACATTTTGTGTAAATTATCAGAATGCCTTTATTCTCCTATTTGTAGACTCAGAAAAAATCTAGAATCTCTTCTGTTTAATAAAATCAAAGTCTTTCAATTTGGTTAAATCAAAATCTTATATTTGGAGTTAATGGGACAAGCTAAATTTTTAGTCCTTTGTAACAATCAGTTTCTTCAAACTACACGATTAAACATGCAAATCATCCTAACACGGAAGTTTTACTGTATATACTTTTAAATAGTAGTAATAAGAACCACCGTGTAAACAGATCTGTGGTTGAAGTTTCTACCGCCCAGAAGTTAAAAAGGTAGAGCCAACAAAGGGATCATGAACTTGCCATCCTTGAGAAGATTGGCAGAGTTCTTCCTTTACACTACTACAAAACTGACAAAGGGAGCTGGAGTCAGTTTCTTACATCCATACAAATATCTCAATTATTTCGCAATATCAGATGAAATTCTTAATATTATTAGTATACAGGTTCATCACCAGTAAGAACTGCTCTGCTGCTTATGACTTGTTTTAAATAAGATACCTGCAAAGCATCAGTCTTCATTCACTGATGGCTTCACTAGTTGGTGAAAGTCCTGGTGGCAAGCCCAGCTCTGTTTTGTTTGAGATATCAATAGTGTGACCTGAGAAACTTGGCCAAAGGCCCAGAGAGAGAGTCTGGTGGCTTCATACAAATAGCCTGAGTTCTCGGGCTGCAAATATAGGTAAATAACCAAATAGGAGTGATGTAATAGAAAAAAACAATTTGTTGTAATATGTCATTATTTATACATAGCATTCAGAAAAAGTATGTACACTTTGGATGTTTTTATATGACATGAATAGAATCCTTGTTTCTCTGAGCCATACCAACCATCTGAAAACCAGTGGTTTGGGTTACAGTTCCCATGGTGGTTGACTCCTGTGATGTTTCTGGATATCCAGCTTTATCAGCTGCTCCTTAATGTAGGGTTCTCAAACCCCTGTCACCTGGGGAGCTTTTTAAATACAGACTGCTACAGGGACTGGACCCCCCCCCTCCCACAACCAGGCACACCGTGCCAGTGCCTAGGGGCCTGCCTGGGGACCCAGGATATGGAGGCAGGGGCCAGACACACCCCACAACCAGGCACACCACCAGTGCCAAGGAGCATGCTGAAAACATCCTCTCCATGTGGGTGGCGCACCACAGCCACCACAATAACTATGGCTGCCATGAAAGCAGCTAGACACCACAACCAGTACGCAGATGGTCCGCCAACCACTGGAGTGCATTGACACAAGGAAAGTCACCAGCAGAGATAAAGAAGAGGATGTCTCTCCCCACAAAGCCCATTTCAGAGTGACAGAAGAAGTATCTGCTCTATGATAATATTGGGGGACCTGATCACACCTCTCAGCATCGCACAGATCATCTAGAAAACAAATCAACAGAGTAACCATTATTCTTTCAGGAGGAGAGAAGAAATCCAGGGTAATTGGGGGAGAGGGGGAGGGAGAGAGGGTTGGGGAGAGATTGAACAAGCAGTATAAAGAATAATTATGATTTGTTACAATATATATGCTGGTAATATTGATTCTATCAACATATCTCAACGTTGAACCCCCAAAATATGTATAATCAATTTTGATTCAATAAAAAAAATTAAAATAAATAAATACAGGCTGCTGGACCCTTGTTCTTGTCCTTCTCAGAGTATCTAGGCATGGGAAAGGATTCTGTGTTCATTTAACTCTCTCCCCAGTGGCTCTTATTTAGACAACTGGGCACTAGTCATTTGGGAATCACTATAAATATAGGAAGATGTCTCCCCTTCAGTGGTTCTCAAATCTGGGTGTATATCAGAGTCATTGGAAAGCTTTTAAAAAATACAAGTTCTGAGGCTACACCCTGAAGGTTATGCATCATTAATTCATTGAATATTAGATTTATTGAGCACAACAGGCCCTATTTTAGCCTCTTTATACAAATTATTAATTCGTTGAACCCTCACAACAACGCAATGTGGTAGGTACCACTGTTTTTCAGATGAGGAGATAGAGGCACAGAGAAGTTCTTCCCTGAGTTCGTGCAGCTAGGAAATGGCAGAACCAGGATTCAAACACAGTCTGGCTCTAGTCTTACCACCATGCTGCCTCGGGTTGAGAATGTGATCCAAGTACTTTGAATCCACCTCAGATCTTAGTATAAAAGCATATGTCATATGTAGCAATAAAGCTGTCATTAAAAAATATTAAAGCATATGCCAGTTGTCAGGAGTTAGAGATGGTGAGGGGGAGAGGAGTGGGTGTGACTATAAAGGGAAGTATGAGGAGGGCTTTGTGGTGCTGGAAAAGTTCTGTGTCTTCGTTGTGTTGGTTACCAGAATCTACACCTGATAAAGAGGCATCACACACCCACTGTGCCAATGTCAGTTGCCTGGTTTTGATACTGTACTATGGCTGTATAAGATGTCACCACTGGGGAAACTGGGGAAAAAGTGTACACAGGACTGCTCTGTATTATTTTTGCAACTTCCTATGAATCTGTAATTATTTCAAAAGAAAAAAGAAAAAAAAAAGCATATGCCTACTTTGACAAGCCCGAAATCAATTGGAGGGCTATCCCCTTTAAGACTGGCCCTTTAGAGAGTTCATTCTTGGAAAACAAACCTTCTTCTTAGGGCAAGAAAAGCACCATGGCTTTGGGCAGAGCAGGGGCACAAGGATAGTGGTGGTAGAAGGAGCTGAGCAAGGTTACCAGTAACAGAGTCAAGTACTGCACTGACACCACCAAGAGGGCTGAAACCAGTTACTTATGTCTTGCAGTGATTTCCAAATGACTAGTGCCCAGCTGTCTAAATAAGAATCACAGGGGAGAGAGCATAATGAACACTGAATCCCTGTCTCAAACCTAGAGACTCTGAGTAGGTCAAGGACAGGGTCCAGCACTCGTATTTAAAAAGTTCTCCAGGTGACAGGGGTTTGAGAACCCTGGATTAAGGAGCAGCTGATAAAGCTAGATATCCAGAAACATCACAGGAGTCAACCACCATGGAGACTGTAACCCAAACCACCGGTTTTCAGATGGTATGGCTCAGAGAGACAAGGATTATATTCATGTCATATAAAAACATCCAAAGTGTACATACTTTTTCTGAATGCTATGTATAAATAATGACATATTACAACAAATTGTTTTTTCTATTGCATCTCTTCTATCTGGTTATTTACCAAGTTGCTCATAGTAGAAATATAATTACAGACAACAACATAATTCTATTTACAAATGTTTTAGAATTCAAAGACTTAGGTATGGTGCTAAATTAAGAATGTTTTGGCTGCAAGTAATACACTTAACTAACAGGAACATAAACAATACAGGTGGTCTATCTTTCTGATACAGTAAAAAGTTCAGAAGCATGTGGTTGCTGGTATTGGTCTTGCAGCTCAAGAGGTGGGAGCCGACATCTCTGCAATTCTCTTGGCCTTTCTTTCATGGCCACAAGGCAACAGCTGCAGCTCCAGCCTCTCTGCATTCCAGACTGGATGAAGAGAAGGGGCCAGACTGTCAGTCAGCTGCCGGCTGACCCAAACAGCCCTAGCCTCGTTATCAGTCTCTCCCTAGGTGTCCTTTCTGGTGGACGAGCGGATGGCCCAGATTCCTCTTTCCCTCCAGTCCCCGTTGGGAGGAGACGGGGGAAGAGAGCCGCGAAGAGAGGTGAGCACAGCCGCCGGCCCCAACCAGCCCGTTAAAGGACACTCAGACGCGGCGTGCTGGGTTCTGTCGAGCAGTTCCATTTATTATCACACAAGCACTTGCTTTTAAAGGCAAATGGGGAAGGGAGGTTTTTTACATCCTCCAATCAGTTTAAAGGTTACAAGAGCATGCATCCTGTCTCAGTGCCTAGCTATTGCAATCATGCAGTGTTCATGAGCGCGGAAGCATGTATTTGGCCAATAAGGGCTAAGGCAAGTTTCCCACAGACACTCCCACCCTACTTCCTCCTGGCACCGTCTTAGGCTGCCATGTTAATACGCCCTTGTGGGCCCATAATGGCGCAGCTTGTAATGTCACTTAAGGTAGCGTTAGTTTTTAAGTCCCGACAGCCAGACCACTAGTGTTCTACCCCTGTCTCACCGTCCAGAATGATATCTCATGCCCTCTCCTGGCTGCAAAGGAGGCTAGGAAATTGAGTATTTCACCTTTACATCTATGGTATAGGCAGGAAAGGAAAATAGGGAGAGATTAGGTGTTAGATGAGCCAGTCTACAGTGTCTGCCACAGCTTTCAAATTAAATTTTATCAAGCACTGTTTAATTAAATTTAGAAACAGCTTATCAGATACAAGGTAATACATTATCTTAGTAAATATTGATATAAAAATCAGGCATAAAGATCTCCACTGTCAGTAATTCTACATAAATGTAATGGTCTTTCATTCTTTGTTGAAACTAATTCTAGTTGTTTAAGAACTTCTGTTCCTTCAATCAATTGCCTATATAGGAGGAAAAAAATGGAAAATTTAGTCAGTCATAAATTTTCACATTTAGCTTACATTCCCAAATGGCGTCCTACCCAGCTAGTGCTAAAGCTATTTCCTACAAATTAAATTAGCAGTCATAAATATCTTAAACAGCTCTAGATGTGCCTGGTTTGCCACACCTACAACCAGCACCATAATCTAGGCTGCTGTCCCCTCCTGCTAGCCTGCTGTAATAGTTGCCTTCCCTGCATCTGCTCTGGCACCATTCCCATCTGTTCTCCTCACTGCAGTTAGAGTGATCTTTCAGAAATACAAATCTGATGCCACCTCCCTACTTAAAACACTTCAATAATTTCCTGTTATCCTTATGATAAAGAGCAAAAATCCCTACCAGTGCCTTCATGGTCTGCCTCCCACTGCCCCTCAGGGATGTCTTGCTGCATGCTCCCTCTTGCTGTCTTCTCCAGCCAGACTGGCACTCAGCTCCTCAAGAGGTCCACGTTCCCTTCCTGCCACAATGTCCCCTTTGTTTTTGCCTGCCACCACCCTTAGCTTGGTCACTTCCTGGCCTTCCTTTAGATCTCAACTCAGGCATCACTTCCTTGGGGAGGTTTCCCAGGCCTCCCTGCTTATGTCAACTTGTCACTCTCCTTTACAGGAGTTCCCAGGGTTGAAGTCTTACATTTATTTGCATGCCTCTTTGATTAACAATACAGGGGGTCTATTTGTCTTGTACAGTAAGAAGTTCTTCCTGTTTCTCACATAAGAGGAGGGATCACGCTTTTGCTCAGTGCTCAATGCTTAGCACAATGCTGGCACACACTAGGCACCTAATAAAAGACAGGTCAAAGTCCTGCTAGTTTGGATCTCTGTAGACACTCTCTGGCCATGAGCTAGAACTCCCTGAGGAGTGGAGCTGTACTTTTGATGGTTGTTTCAATGTGTGGACTGGGGCAGTGGCTGAGGGGAAGGGTGCAATTTGCATCTCATGAACCTTTACAGGAGCGTGGTCAGTGCCGGCACTGACCAAGCACTAGCCCTCTTTTTGCCTCTGGGCTCTATTTTTGCCATCCCAGTCAGAAACCGTGACACAGGGCAACACGAGGTACATTCTGAGGATGAAGAGCAGAGGGTAAATGGACACATTCCCCTCTGTCCAAAGAGGGTATGAAGCCTATTATCCAAATGGGTTTCACAAATATCAAGTGAGCACTTACTATGTGCACTTCTCCACTCTGACAGGTATTAGGGTATAAAATGAGTGAGACCCAGTCCCTGCTTTAAGTTATTCACAATGTGCCAGAGAAGATAAAAAAGCTTTTGCTAACCAGGGAGGTTTCTGGCCTAAGCCTTGAAAAGGATTTTAGTAGATAAAGGGAGGCAGAAAGGAACAAGATAAGCACCGGCCCAGCGACTCTTCTGGGAATGATAGTACTATGGCCTGGCTGCAGCTCAGCTGCCCATCTACAAATTGCCTTCAAATTTACATCTCCAGCCCTGACCTAGCTTGAATATCTACCTCCTGAGATGTTGCCAACTGGCTGTCCTACAGATGTCTTAATCTGAAATACAGCTTTTTTTTTTTTTTTTTTTTTTTTTTTTTTTTTTTT